CAGGTTGCATTTTTTTTTTTTTAAATGAAAGTTCTAATAGGTTCTTTTCACAACCAACAACCTTATAACAAGAAAATAAATATTAATAAAATAAAACAGATTTATGTGAATTCAGTGATTTCAGTTTATGCGTGTTTCATATTTATGAATCTTAAAGAAATTGCCTCGAATTAAGCTTAATTACAGAAATATACCTATATAAAGTTTTGGATACATCTTTCCACGTGTTCAGTTGTGTAAATATTTTACTTAATTTTATTGCTATGCTGCCCACAAATTTGTAAGTTTATGCAAAAAATTTTTAACAACAGAACAGTTAGTTTATCTTGATCAAATGCACAAATTATATTCCTAACAGTTCACAAAACTTAAAAATGAATAATAATTAATACATAAAGAAAAGCATTACTTTATTTAACACCTTTACAATTCATAAAAACAGTAACAATTGATTTCTTACTTTTAAAGAAAATTATAAAACGAATTACCTAAAATGTTCAAATTATAGAGTTTAAATCCTAGCATATATCATTCTATGCTAAGGAACGAAGATACAAGCTATAAACAGAAACATTAACATGTATTTAAGGTATTTTGATTACTATTAAGTACTTTTTTTTTCACATCTGGAATGAAATCAACATGGCATTGTGATATTTTTTAACATATCAAATTACATAGAAAAAGAAAATCAATACTTACGAATGAAAAGTAATCTTAGGAATCTTTTTCGAAAATCTGTTTGTGCATCCATATGCAACACAAACTGACATGCTTCAAAAAGAAAAGAAAAAAAAAAAAAAAAAATATTGCAATTACAGACTTTTTGCTTAAGTCACAGGAACATGGCTGCCAAACCGTTTGAGTTGAACCTTCCCTCCTATTCTAATCTCCTTGGTGCAGCTCGATGGCATGCATTCAACAATGGTACTCTTTGGGTCTACGGCTCTGGAAGTCCATTTGGCGAAGCAAGCTTTGCACGATCCGTTTACTGTCTATACGACTGTCGCCCTGATTCAGCTGGATGGTAATCTGAACTAATGTTTGTCTTCGTTGACTATACAGTGCAATACAGCTGAGCCGATATGTATCTGTCAGATTTACAGAAATGGTTTTATTTCACTGCAGCATAAACATGAATTAACAATTCTAATGTCTTCTAGCATTAAAGGTAAATTTTTACATCTTATCCAACAATGCATTCGAGTTATTCCTGGGTGACAAAGTTCACCTTATAGTGCATTTAGTTCTGAGGATTTTATACCTACATTTATTCTTGATAATGTGCCTGCAGTTGCATTTTTACTTCCAGAGTGACATATAATATCACATTTGACACAAGCAGTTCTAAAAGCCAACACATAATCTTCTCATTTTTAATTTTACTGCAATCCGTTGATCAAACATAAAAAAATAAATAAAAGTTAATTAAATCTATAAAAACTTCAAAATGTCTGCAAATTAAATGTAGTCTCTAGTTTTGTAAAGACTCAACAATAACATATGCTTCTTTTGCAACAGAGCAATGCTTTTGTTCATAAGAGTTTAATGTTCTACAGAAGAAAGCTATAGGACACCCAGCTCGAATCAAGGTTGCTCTTATTGAAAATTCAAAAGCGTCAGTTTCAACTCTGAATAGTATATATTTACTTTCAATTGCAGTTAAATATGCTTTGGCTATATCCGTCAAGATAACTGACGCCTTTATCAGCATTTTTATTAAGGGGAAAGGATCCTTTAATGAAACGGGGGCAAATCTTTACAGAAAAACTTGAATCAAGTTGCAAAACAAGCGAACATTCAAAACTTGCTGTAGTAGCCCAACAATTTTACAGATTCCATGGAAAATGTGTATTTATCCCTCATCCAAGGTTAGGTTGTATTTCTTCTCAGCAGCAGGCTGCTAACAAATCACCACCATATCTCTGAGTTATTATTATGCTCAGCTTCATTCTTACCACATACAGTCGTATCATCAAGCTAGGAAAAGGTTCGTAATAATTTTTCACTTGAAATTATTTCATCAGTAATTCTCTGGAAAGAAGTAACTCTCCGTTTGTTACACCAAATACAACACGTGGAAATTGATACAATTTAGCATCAGCTTCAAAAGATGCATAGTGCTTTTCTGATAAGAACTTTATGATCAGCACTTCAGAGGTCAATTATACTAAATATTTTATATTTTGATACCAGTGAAATCAACTCTTCAGGTTTAGAAAGAGAGCAAGTATCAAGCATAGTAAATTTGTTAATAGTATGCAAATAATCTATAACCATTCTGGGCCTGTAATGTTCTCCTTTCTCAACAAATGCTTGTGAATGCCTAGGAGAATTACTTGTTCAGTTACACCTTAACACTTCTGCAGCTATGATTTTTTGTTATCATCCTCAATTTGGCATTTTAGGTTTGTAACAATGGGTCTATAATCAGGTGTTAAATTAGAGAAAAATGATGTGGGGCTGCAGGAGTACATGTACAAATTCTTAAGGGTGGTTTGTCACCTTCAAATTCTATCTCAACAAAAGAGTGATCTTTTATAATCATACCCGGTAAGAAAGTCTGCACAGAGGTTTTTCAAAATTAGAACCACTATATTAGTATATACACTGAAGAGCCATTACATTATGACCATCCTGTTAGTAACATGTAGGACCACCTTTAGCCCTCAAAACTGCCAGCACCCGGCGTGGTGTTGACTCCATAAGGTGCTAATACATAGTATGAGTTATTTGGTACTAAGCACTCACCAACTGATCCTGCAATTGCTGCACATTGTGAGGGGATAGCATTGCAGCTCGACTTTGGTTTTCCAGGTGGGACCATAAATGCTGTATTGGATTAATGTCAGATGAAATTGGAAGCCAAGACATGACTTGAAAGTCACTGAAATGTTCCTCGAACCCTTTCTTACGATTTGACCCTTATGGCAAGGTGAATTATCCTGTTGGTAAACACCATCCCACAATGGAAACACTGTTGTCATGAATGGGTGAACCTGATCTGCAACGATGTTCACATAACGCAGAGACGTCAGGGATTGTTCTATGGGGATTATGAGTCCTAATGTGCTCCACAAAAACATTGCCCACACCAGCTTGTCTCCGTACAATTGTGCATTTGGGAGCACGGATTTCGTTTGGAAACTAGCGTATTAGTCGATGTGATGGACCAGAAAACGAGATTTGTCTGACAATGCAACTTTCTTCCATTCTTTTAATGTCTAATCCTGATGTTTCTTGACCCATTACAAACGCAGCTGGTGATGACTTGGCATCATTGCAGGAACATGCTTAAGCCTCCGGCTGCACGGACCCATATACAACAATGTACGCTGCTGTGGTAAATAGATGGCATCCCCCCTTTACGAGGAGAGCGTTCTTGGCCCCCCTCCTAGAGACTCAGCAGACTAAAATGAGACATCACCGCACGCATGCGCAGATACATTTCAACTGCACCTGAATTTTCTTACAGTTTTCTTCTAAATTTGTATACGGTAAAGTGTGAACAATAAAGTGTTGGTGTTTCAAAAATGTGTTGAGAAACACTGTCTGGGTCACCACTGTTGTTGCTGGTAGTGATTTCGGCTGATGGTAGCTCTTCAGTCATGGCGAACAATGTGTAGCAATTTTCACTCTCCTCTGGAATAAATGCGCCTTCGACAACACACTGCTGACCGGCGACTTGTTTCACCATCCATACACCACATTCGATATGTGCTCATAACTGCATGTGAATAGCACACTAAACGTGCTATTTCCGATACTGATTTTCCCAGTCGCCGAGCCATAACGATTTGACTTTTATCGAAGTCTGATAAATCAGCTGCTTTTCCCATTATGTCACTAATCGCACTATGTTCGGGAAAAGAATACATAGCCAGTTTTATATACTCTGATATCAGCTGCGCAAGTGTGGTGGTTTTGCCAGCAGTGATTAAATTTCTAGCCAAAATGCTAAACAGCACCACAGAATGATTTAAAAAATAAAATAAATAAGTCCCGTGGAACATCAAGATACGAGCACCTCTAATATACAAGAAATTCGAGATATCAGGAAAGTATGAGCAAAACATTTGTCTCTAAATATGACCACTAACTCGAGAAATGAGTCAGGCCATTGGTATGCATTACGCCATTTCCTGATCCAGCTCGACTCGGGGAATCCCCTCGTCAAATAACTCAGGTGTTCTTTGATCTATGTGTTTATACACTTGCGAGTTAATTGAATTTAACATGAAAATAATTATTTCGCGATGCCTCCCAAGAAGTTTATTGCCTCAGATAGTGCTGCACAGAAAAATAAGGAAGCCATAGCCATTGAAATTTAGAAAGAAATTACAGATAAACATAAGCATGGTGTAAGAGTGACAGAATTGGTGAAGACTTACAGCCTTTCGGCATCGACAATCTGCTTTATTCTGACGAAGAAGGAAGAAATGAGGAACTTGATCTAGGCAAAGAATTACCGTTACTTCCAAGCACCGTCCAAAACTGCAAGAAGTTGTTGTTGGTGTGGATTAAAGAGAAGCAGTTAAGGTTAGTGTCGGAAGCTATCATAAAGGTAAAGCATGGTTATATTATTTACCAGTGTTATTTATTAGAAAAATTTATTTTTATGTTGATATTTTTGGGATTGCGGAACGGATTAACTGGATTTCCATTATTTTCAGTGGGGAAGTTTGTTTCTAGAGATGAGAAATTTGCTATACGAGCTTAATGCTGGAATGAATTAAACACATACCTCGTTCCACTGTATTAAAATTCTGTCTATTCTACTACTATACACATATTTTACTCAACATTTGTAATTTAACTAAAAACTATCTAAAAATGTTTTAAGTTAAGTTAATGTTTAAGTTTTGTTTTCAGTTTGGGATTATTCTTTAAAAAAGAAATATCAGCAATTCTACTTAGTATGGTTATGATGGATGAAAATTTCTTGAAACTATCTACATTTATGAAAAAGCATTCAAAATTAAATTTAAATGACAACTGCATTTGGAAATAATATTTTTTTTATCAAATGATGTGTATTATACATTAAATACTTGATGAAATTATTACAGCATAACACCATACATAATTTTATACATTTATACTACAGATGATATATGAAACTATAATACAAGTCTTCATTGTTTAGCAGCAGCACCAAATATATCACTTGCGCCTAATTGGCCAGGGTCTTCCATTTGAGGATTTACTGAAAAAGGAAAAACATACATTATAAAAGAAAAATTCTTAAATCTATTAAAACTGAAAATAAATCTCAAACTTCCAACTTCATTAAAATTAATACTTAAATATTTTTTTCTAACAATAGGTCACCACTCCACAAAAATTAAATTTTAGTCTCTGTACTTACTTTTTAAAACAATAAAAAATTAAATTTTATTTTCATAAATGTATCAATAAACTTACCTAAAAAGGCAGAAAATGAAATTTATTTTTGTAGCTAAAGTAGAATACTAGTATAACCATTAATAATAAATATTAAACACAACTGGCACCCCTAAAGTAATAAATTATTTACAATAAATATTGACCCATTAGGAAAGTTCTGAAGTTCTTTTGAACAAATGAAGCGGTAAAAACAGACTGGGGAAAAAATTTAAATCACATAAGCACCATTTTATTTAACTCTCTGAGCGCCATGACCAGCTTTTGATATATTAACTTATAATTTTAAGACATTTTGCTTTCTTACTTTCATTAATAATATAAATGCCATCTTGATGAATGTAAGTTTATGAAAATAAAGCCACTTTATAAAGGTCTTTATGACAGATCCAAAAACCTAGGCCACTCAGTCAGAGGGTTAAACCTTTTGCCATCTCTTCGGCAGCTGGAAAATTCCCCCCCCCTTTTTTTAAAGAAATTGTTAGGTTTATTCAAAGTTATTATATTAATTCATTCTGTTATCAAGTATTGTATTGTTTATTGTGTTAATTTATTATGTTAAGTTATCGAGATGCTGTTTAACAGACTTTAAAAGAGTGAACTTCAGATCATTTAGAGAATTTTTTATTGACCTGAAGAGATGAAAATCAGAAGGGCCAAAGTCAGATGAATGCAGGGAGGTGACACAAATCATCCCAGGCAAACACAATTAGTCCTAAACATTGACTAAAATGTAAGGATGAGTACTGTTAAGATGAAAAACAATATCTCGACCACTGGTTAGTTTTAGGAGCTTTGCTTTAATTTCTGGTTTTAAAAGCTGCCTTCTGCAAAAAGTATTTTTCTGAATTTATTGTCTGATTTGGGGCAAGCATTAGTATAGAACTTCTCTGTAGTTCCATAATACATAAAACATTATGTTTTTCGGACAAAGACCCCTCCCTCATCTTTTTAATGTTACTAAAAGAATTTCATTTGGCTTATGCCATAAGCTTTTTTTTTTAATGCATTTTTGTACAGTATGCACCAACTAGTCATTTTACAAAGGGAGCTTTATTTTGTCTATGCAATGAACCAATCAAAATTCCAGTAGGCACATGCTTGGTAAAAGCATGGAGTACCTATACATAGTAGCAGCTTACATAACCAGCCTTCTTAAAATGATCATACACTGACTTTTAACAATATTACCGTAATTTCGCGCCTATAGTCCGCCGACTATCTGTGTTTAAAATGCGAATTTTTGAAGCTTTGGACTATCCACCAAAGCGGATAATACGCTGGTTGTTCACGGTTAAAATCGTTGAAATTTAAAAAACACGCTGTCGTGAACTGCCGATGATGAACTATAAAAAAAGGCGCGAGATTCTAAGAAAACATTCGTATGAATTGTATCGATAGTAAACCATACAGCATAGTGCAGAACGAATGAGCAGTAGCAAGCAAGTAGAGCTCCTAAAATCCAGGTTGGCGCATCAAGCGATGGCGGAATCTGAGCCAAAGAAAGTCTTGTATGAGCACCCACTTAACGCAATCAGAGTCTTGTATCCCAGTATCCTTCGCACTGCTTTAGCGCAACTTCCGGGCATGGAGGTAGGAAAGGAAGGAGGGGCCAGTCGGCACTAGAAGTGAAGCACTACTTTGAAGCTTGGGTCACCAGATGGGGTGTTCTTTGTTAACATTCAGAAGCTCGCTTGACACGGTTCTGACAGTATTTCGACGCACGACAGTTCCATACAAATCGAAAAGGGACACTTTCGCATGAAAGAAACATTCATAGTGTGATGGATAATAGCAATTTGTATAGTTTAGTGACATTTACGCAAAAATCACATCTTGGTTATTTTTCGATAACTAACAACAGCCCGATTTTGATTATGAGTTTGTTTTATAAAATTCTAAGCTGTTGAACTACAAAAGAAAAATGTTATCCTTAAAGAATGAAAAATACCTTACGGTACATTTAAAATTGTATATGTCTTTCGATATCCTTGATAGAGGATTCGCTACTTTTATTTTAATTTCCAAACGCAAAAATGTTTTAAATAAAACTAATTTTTTCACATCCATATATTATTGCAAAAAGCGTGTATCTGCCTTTGACAAAATACATAAATATTCATTCACTTATAAACAACTGAGAAAGTACTGTGAATAAATCTACTTATTAAATGTATCTAATTTATAATGATTATAAATGTTATCTAAATATATATATTATAATATTTATATATATATTTTATAAATATATACCTTAATATTGAATTGTAAACATAAATTGAAATCCTGTTGACCAATACGTTATAAAACTATTTAAGCAAGAATTGTTCGTATTGGAAAGCAATCTGTTAAAAGGCATTGTAAAGCAAATGCTGTGAGATGCGCACTTAAGAAAGTAATAAAGAGTTTTGGAATATGTTGAAATGAAGGGTAAAAAAAAAATCTGATAAGTATAATTAAAAGAATTATTCCCCTTACATTTTATAATAACTCAGTTACAAGTTTTAAATAATACTTAAAAAAAAAAAAAAAAAAAATTATTCCCTTTCAGAAATGTTCAGAGAAAGTCAAGTACTATTTAAAGTATTTTGCTAATTCCTAATAATTCTCTAATTTAAAATGAACTGAATAGAGCATTAATTATAAATTGACCTGCATTTTTTGATTTAAAAGATGTTTCAGAAGCCAAAAAATCATGTCATATTTAAGAAAGTATTTTTAGGAAGAAGCTCTATAAATAGAAAAGAAATAATGCATAATTTTAATATTAATAATACATTAAACATTGATCTTAATTTTTGTACCTTAACCGAATAAAATCGAATTACCTTAATTTTTTTTTTTCTAATGTAATTAACGAAAACTTGTGAAAATATTTCATTCAAATTAAACCATTCTGAGAAAACTGTCCTGTGAAAAGGATAGCATTTAATTCCATTCAGAATGAAATGTTTAAAAATATGTTGTTTTCACATACTTAGGACTCTGAAGTGTTGTAGAAAAAGAAAATTTATACATTTATATGTATATTTACGACGTAATTACAAAATATTTACATCCGAACGCGTCAAATCCCATAGAACTCAATGGTAAATGACCCAATGTTTTGGTCACCACGTAGGGATCGCCGGTGCTTCAGAGCAGGGTGTCAGCTCGTTTTTTACGAGCCATAGTAGCAAGTACCTGGAGTACGAAAAAAAAGCGTGATTCGTTTACTTATAGCGTGGTTTGGCAACACCGAGTGAGTGGGGTCGAAGGTCACATTTCATTACCACTTATCACGAGGATAGCACATTGCACAGTATTTTGTCTTTCATCTTCGATAACGTTGATGAAACATCGCCGGAGTTTTACTGCTGAGTTAAACTCAAGGTAGTTGAGAAAGCTGAAAAAGATGGAAATAGAGAAGCGGGCCCTTATTGGTTTAATCCTAGTATCCGGTGCACACGGGATTTGACTACTTTTGGCAACTTTATAATGAGCAGTGAAAACGGGACATATACGATGACATTCAAAGAAAATATATAGTTAAACATAGTATATACTATGTATATAGTATATATACATATGTGTGTATAGTATATATATATAGACGTTCTTTGGATCATTTTTGGTGTTGGCGATAATTTTCAAAGTCACGCCAAGGCTGCACCGTATACTAGGATTTTACCCCGTTATTTTGAAGCGGACGAGAAAGCGATGAGAAATTGGCGCAAACAAAAGGATGTTTTTAAAAAGCATGGGAATATTGCTGTATTAAAAAAAAATGTAATTTCGGACGTATAGTCCGCGGACTATCCTGTGGTGCGGGCTATCTGACGATTTTTGAAATTTTTTTTATATAGAATCGTGTCTGTGGACTATACGTGCGAAATTACGGTAAGTACGTTTTAGTTCTTGAACTGTACAGTGTGGTTTTTGAAGATAATTTCTTTTAATTAAGATACAATAACATGTCAAACAAATATTAATTTAGAAGTCAAACAAAAAAATCAGCATTACTGTGAAAATTTGAAAATATAGCGCTGATTTTTGTTGTTTGACTTCTAAATTATTATAACTTCTTTTATTAGGTTCTTGTTTACAGAGGATGGTCGTTAAAAAACGGCACTACCCTTTCTGTGCTTCTCAAACCAATTTTAAATTGTGTCATCAGAAATAGCACTTTGTCCATACATAGCACAAATTTTACGAGTGGTCTGGACACATGTATTATTATTATTATTATTTTTAATGAAAGACCATAGGAAAATAAATTTCTCAGTCCTCCATTTTCAGCACAGCAATGAAACAAAAGTTATGTTAGAGCATATCCTAGAATTATGCTTTGTGAGCTTTTCTGCTCACAAATTTTAATTTTCGCTTAAGGTCAGTATGAGCAGTAACTAAACTAGCGGGGGGAAGCACTGCAATTTGAATAATCGCAGAAATCTCAAAATGACACAATATAACTATAAGCTAACACAAACACGCCAAAAACAAATACATGATTTTTTTTTTTTAAAAAGAAATTAATTTGCTTAAAACAGAGCAAATATTTTTTCTCTGGAACATGAAAACATTTTGCATATGAAAATGTTAAATAACAGAAATTTCTAGCTAGAAACTGAAAGTGAGCTAACTACTATTATTAAGTCTCGCATAAATATTTTCTTCATTAAAGGAACTTCTGCACATTCAACAAGAATAAGCCAAACTTCACAACAAATCATATATATTTAACACGTTGACTGCCCAACATGAGATAACTCATATTAGCGACCTTTTTCAGGACACCCGATACCAGTTATCTCGTAGTTTGAC